TATGTAAACAAAACATGGTTGTTTAATTTATAATTTGCAATGTAAAGAACATTGTTGCATTCATGCTGGAGGGCGTTCTGGCTAAAATAATTAGATGCAAACGCTGTAAACAAAATAGACTTACGTACTGTCTGTTTTTTTTTTGTTTTTTTTTTTTTCCCTCAATACCCGGGTTTCGCCATTCATCAAATAATGTTTTATTGTAAAAAATGAGACTTGAGCTAATCTATAAACGAGAATGGCGGGTAGATTATATGGCAGCTATGAAATTCCTTTGATGTACATTTTTTTGTATAATAATTGCCATCGTGCATTTTGTTTCAAATGCTATCGTTGTTGATACTCCCCACAAGCCTTGTATCTAATTCGATGTATCGAAATCATATTAGTGCAATGTACACTCTATGTCGTGTTTTCATGTTCTTTGACTTGATGAAATACTAGCAGCGCATTTTACTGTGCACACGTATGGTATTTTAAGACAAACGCCCTTTTCGTTGTACTACAACACGACGGTCAGGGTTGTGTAGGACGCACTAACTCTATCGCCTTCAACATGGTCACCGAAATAATCCATATACAAATACCCCAAGAACAAACACGCAATACACCAGAGCGCAGACCCTAGAAAAAAAGTAACATACATGAGTGAAGTGTCCCCTGACGTTAATTGCTTCAGTAACCTCCAGCCATGTAAAATAAAACAAACCACCACACGATCGTAGGAAGGACACCACTCCCATGAATGCTGTTCCAAAATTGAATTTTACACGAATATACACCGTTATTAGTTTTTTTGTGTTTCCAAAAATGTTTTTGTTAAAGAATTCAAATACTGCATCCCAGCACTGAAATAATTGTACTGTGTATGTCGCCCTCAACGGATAAGTTAGTTTTACTTTGTACCTCAATGAAGATTGTATATTTATTGTACTCGCGTGAACTGTACATAAATATTGGAGGTCAAAGTTCATCAAAATACATGATATGCTCGTCTTTTGAATGCCATATGGAAGCACGAATATTTGTAGGACTCGTATCTCTGTAAATAAAATGGAACCAACCCGAAAGGTTTGTACAACCCCATGATCGCCGACCTGACTAAGAGCTGAGAACTGGTTACTAATATTTCATATTTGTGTGCACGATTCTCTTGCGTTTGCATTTACCTGTATTTATTAAAACCAGGCAAATGAAACATTACAGTTCACGTATCACTAGATGTGTTGGTTATATAAATGGACCCACCCTATCAAGTTGATATGAATAGCAGATGAACTTTTGACTTCATGACTTCAAGTTCATAACGTTATTCTAATTTTTGTACATTTTACAGACTGGAGACTTGACGGAAAAGCAAATATCTAGTAAGTATGCAAATTGAGTGATGATACTGGGGGTGTGGAGTGTCGGGTTATGTTAGGATATGCCCTGTGGGGAATGGCCAAGGAAGCGGCCTCAAATGCAAATGTGCAGTTATAAAGATGTTTGTATGAACGAACTTCGATAGTTCTGAGAAAGTGCTTCCTTCTAAGCAGGTGAAGTTAGGTGCCCGTTCTATGGTGTGGGGTGCCATGTCAGAATCCGGGCTGTCTGAGCCTCACATAGTGCCACAGGGTACCACAGTAAACGATCAATACTATCTACAGGAGATACTGGAACAGACACCGGTGTCAATCATTAGCAGAAAGAAGAGGAGTGGTCCTGTCACTGGCTGGAGGATGTACAAACTACGCTCGTGCATGGTGTTAATGCAGGATGGTGCACCTGCTCATACCGCCCATGTGAGCCAGGAGTGGTGTTCCAGGAAACTTCCTGACTTTCCCCGTAAAGAGGAATGACCCCCAACTCACCAGACTTGAATCCAATTAAGAACTGCTGGGCATACTGAATGACAGAATTGTCATCAGCCCCCTAATGTCCATGAACAGCTAAATGCAAGGGCAGTAAAGGAAAGGAAGAACAGTGAGCCCTCGGTTCTCAAAGACTTGCTGCCTGAGCGACCCAAATCTGTTAAGATGAAAAACGGATACAGTGGATATTAAATTATGAGATTCTATCAGCATGTGTTCGTTCACGTTGATTAGCAATCAATAAAACAAACACGGTGGGACACGGTGCATATACAAGTATAGCATTGGGTTAAATCGAAGAAATGCGTTGTATACTCATCCAGTCTGGTTGGCGGTTTGCACGTTCTCAGCAAGAATTTAATAAGCTCGGTTATTAAGCACTCTGTTGTGGGATGCCCGGTGGTAGAATGGAAATCTGGCTTGGGCATGTAATTTCTCTCAATAGAAAATTATTTTTATTTATTATTATTATTATTATTATTATTATTATTATTAGAAGTAGTAGTAGTAGTAGTAGTAGTAGTAGTGGATACAATTATAGGTATTCTATTAATAGTAGATAGAATCCCGTATATACTTAAATAACGATGTCACTGTATGAGTGCTGGGTGTGACGTGACACGTTATGTGTTATTTCACGTTTATTTTAATTTCCATTCATAATCAAGGACTCCGTAGCCATATTTTTAAAAAATTTAGAACGTAAATATTGTAGGGCCTCAAATAAAAACTAGACTAAGATTAGAACTCAGTACTACAAATGAGATGAGTTGGTAAGCAGTTGATTTGTGTTAATTGCAGGGCTTAAAGAGACGTTCACACTTTTTGATAAGGACGGTGATGGCGCCATCACAGTAGGAGAATTGAAAACAATCTTGAGAACCACAGGTCCTCTGATCACAGAAGCGGAACTGAATAACATTATTGAAAACCGGAAAGATGGTGAGTTTAAACATGTTACTAATGCATCAATATTTCATGCTACGTAAAACTACCCTAAACAAATTTGCCTTGGTATCTCTACTTGGGTCCACCTCTCTACGCGCCGTATCACTATAAAGCGTCTGTACTCGCCGATTGAGGGCGCAGTAGATTGACGTACGTTTTGTTCAATTTGTTTACAGTTGCATTTCCTAAATCGGACACAGTTCAGTTTGTCGAATTCCTCACCATAATGGCAACTCGAATGACGGACCGCGAATACAGCGATAAAGAAATTGTCAAATCATTCCGAGTGTTTAGAAAACTCGAATCAAAATATATAAAGACTTCGGAAATAAAGCACGTATTAACGACAGTTGGTGAAACATTGTCACACGAAGAAATTGATGAACTGATCAAAGATTTGGACAAGGACAACGAAGGGGTCATTAAATATGAAGGTGTGTGGTTTTAAGTATCTCCAGATTTTAACAAGCGGGAGTCAGGCCGAGGCTTCTAAATCTATTCATATTTTAACTCATCCTTATTACTATGGGTCTCGCATGTGACGCATACAACTCGTGTAAAATATAATGTACAAGATGCAAATACAAGATGCAGTTCGAACACTCGTTGCGCAACGACACCTTTAATGTCTCAGCTGAGAGGATCATCTTTCTGTGGCATTACAATCTATGTGTCACTCGTCACATAGAGTGATTGATAGCGATTTCAAACTACAACTGAAACGCTTGTATAAACTTGTTTACTATTTGCTTTATTTCCAGACTTTGTCAGTGCTCTTACTTGAACTCCAACAGCGTCTATATGCGGCTGTTATCTTCCAAGATTCAAGGAATATATGCAAGTGAATTTGAATTTTGAAATAATAAATTCTTTATTGTAAATGCGAACAAATTTTAACGTAACAATATTATGAATTTATATTCTCTTGTATTTGACGAAAAATGTTTTCTGGATGAGTGATATATTCAAGCAACTTGAAAAATGTATTCAAATAATCTACATCACTTTCTGCCCAGTGTTGCATTGGCAGGAGTTCGGCTGCATTGAAACACATTTTTGCATGCACATTGCTTTTTCAATCCAAACTCTTCCACACATTTCACTTATACGTTGACTTTCTAACGATAGGCTCAGTAAGAGTTGTACAATAAAAGAAACTGCGTTATAATATATCACACATACTCGTATTTGTCCCGATGCATTTACAAATCAGTGTATTCTAATAGGCGTTTTGTTGAACGCAGCTTGGCAACTTTCCGTGGGTATTGTCCTCAATCAGCATGCACGCATTAAGGTTCAATTTTCAATAGCATGCCTCAATTGTTAAACGTATTGAACTTTTTTTTGTGTGGGAAAATAACAGTATAGAGTAACTCTTATTAACAGTGAATTTGTAACGCACAAAATACACTGTAACCTCAATATAATGAACACTTTTATAAAGAATTTTCTGATATAATGAACACATAGCTTGTCTCCCCGCTCACAACAAACCCAATGTATTATGTGCTTCATTATAGTGAA